TAGGAGTCCAATTTTCATGTTCTCTTTTTCCATGTGCCCTCTCTGTTACGCTCCTAATTTATTGACACATGTCTTTACACTTAACTTCTAAGTGTTAACCCTTTTAATAAAATTTACACAAAATTTAAAACTAATTATTTTAAAAATAACTTCGTTAGCCACCGCACCTCGTCGGTGGCAACCCCTCTCCTAGCCCCCGGCGGCTACAAACCCTATTTTCTTCTTTGTCCTCCCTGTTTACCAAGTAACACCAAACTCAAAAATCTGATATATTTTTCTCCATGTTAAAACCCATAATCCTTTCCCCATATCACTTTTCTTCTATGTCCTTAACCCTACACCAAAAAAAAAAAATTGGGGGAAAGCAACACCAAATGTAAGATCTGGTAGATCTAGATATGGATCTCTCTCCTAGTTACATTGGCTTGGTTCCATCAGAGATTTGAAGGGGAAGAATCCAACTGAGAATATGTGTGTTCCTTGTTTTCTTGACTTGTAATGCAGTGAAGATGAATGGGTTATTGAGGCTACAACACAATATGATTCATTGCATATAACATCTTACAATTTTTAAAGCCCTTCAATGTCATTCTTGTTTAAGGCTTTAACATATGAGATTGACTATGTGGTTGGGGTTGAGTTTGGGCAAGAAAATGGTAAAGTGGGAAAAGAAAGAGAGAGAAAGGGAGATAGAGATAATGAGGTATTTTCGGCGACAAGGAGGAGAGGGGTTGCCGACAATATGAGGTGGGTGACCAAGTTGGATGGGTGGGAGGGTTGGCTGAGGTTGCGTGGGTGGATGGGGTTGTGGTGGATGTTGGTTTTTGTTTTTTATTTAGTAGTTAGCTTTGTTTTTGTTTTAATTCATTAAAAAGGTTAACAATGTTATGTTTAGAAGTTAGTATAGGGACAAGTGTTAATAAATTAGAAGGGTAATAGAAGGGCACAGGGAAAGGGTAACATGAAAATTGGACTCAGGAGAGAAGAGAAAATGTTTTTTTAATAAATAGTATTTTATTATTATTTTACTTTATTTTATTTTTATGGTTTTAAATACTTAAAAGATTTAAAAGTAAATCATTAACTATGATTTACAAATGGATATGCAGTAGCAGATCTAGGAATTGTCAAGGAAATGGGCAAAATTTAAAAGGTTATAAGCTCAAAAGAAATACCTGAATTATTTGAAGGAGGACTTGAACTACCCGAATTATTCGAAGGAGGATTTAGACACTTTACCTTGAAAACTTTAGAAGAATTGTAGAGAGAATTCATAGAAACTGATTTTCTTATTTCTTTTGTTAACTACTAATTACATCATTATAGTGCTTATATATCTGCGCTTACAGCATAACCACTTCTTATCAGCCTAACCACATTCTAATAGACTAACAAACTAGAGTGACATGTGGATATACTCTATCAGCCCCCCACAAGCTCATGGGAGAAAGGCTCGAGCATGAGATTGGAGCAGTGAAAATCGAATTGAGGTGAGCACAAGCCTTTGGTTAGGATGTCAGCAACTTGTTGAGAAGAGGAAACATGCTGAAGCTGGATTTCACCGCATGTGACCTTCTCACGAACAAAATGACAGTCAACTTCAATATGCTTAGCACGAGAATGCAGAATAGGATTAGTAGAGAGGGCCATAGCAGACAAATTGTCATAGTAAATAAGAGGAGACTTGGCAAGAGGAAAGGAGAGATCTGTCAACAACTGCTGTAACCACACAATTTCAGCATCAGTGGCAGTCATGACACGATATTCTGCCTCGGTGGAAGATCTGGAAATAGATTGTTGTTTCTTAGAACTCCAAGAAACGGGATTGGAGCCTAAGAAAATAACATAACCAGTTGTAGATCGCCTATCATTGGGATCACCAGCCCAATCGGCATTAGTAAAAGCATGAAGATCCAAAGAACCCTTGTGAAATGTCAATCCATAGTGCATGGTACCCTTAAGATACCTAAGAATTCGTTTCACAGCAAGGTAATGGGTCTCAAGAGGAGAGTGCATAAATTGGCAAATCTGATTTATGGAATAGGCAATGTCAAGCCTTGTGAAGGTCAAATATTGCAAAGCACCAACCAGACTTCGATAATGAGCAGGATCAGAAAAGAGGAGACTGCCATATCTAAGAAGCTCAGAAAGGTTGGCTTTAGACAAAACATCCTTGGTGTATTTAGATTGAGTCACAGAAATACCAGCATCTGTATACTGAATGTGCAGGCCAAGGAAATAATGAAGATGTCTAAGATCAGTCATATCAAACTCCTTAGATAATAAAGTGATCATAGAAGCAATTGCAGCATGGGAATAACCAGTCAAGCTAATGTCATCGACATACAAAAGCAATAAAACCAAAGAGGTGTCATCTTGCTTAACAAAGAGAGAGGGATCAGCTTGAGAGGTACGAAAGCCAATACATGGAAGATAATTGGTAAACCTCTCATTCCAAGCTCAAGGAGCTTGCTTAAGACCATATAGAGATTTATCCAATCAGCAAACATGATGAGGATGGAGAGGATCAACAAAGCCTTGTGGTTGAGACATGTAGATTTCCTCTTTGCGAATGCCATGAAGAAATGC